TTAGCGCTTGCACTAAAGAAAGCGGGAGTAAAGAACAAGGGGAGAAGGAACATGTTCCTGAAAATTATATACACTAACATAGATGGAGTGAGTTAAAAAATACTAGAGCTAAATGATGTAATACAGCTGCAGACGCCAGACATTTTGCCCTCACGGAGATGAAACGCAAAGATATTTTAAATAAGATCGTATTCCCAAAGGACTATTCAATTTGGAGATGGGACAGAAAAATTAGGAAAGGTGAAAGCATTGCTGTGCTCCAGTGCATAATAGCACTGGAGATTTGTAATCGGGATAAACTGATAATCATAAATGCATACAGTCCACCGTCATGCTACACATGGTTAGAGGAGGAGCTGGATAATAAAAAGAAGGCCTAATAAATCATGAGAGATTACAGCAAGAGCGGATAAAAATAGATCACAACTACTGGTAGTCAGGAGGAGGCCTATGAAGCAAGAATGGAGGACTTGAATCTGGAGATTGGTAAACCTCATCCTGGAGACATTCATGTATCAACACGTTCAAGAAGCTATGAGGATATGGGAAGGAGATGTTCCTTCCATGCTGGATTTGATATTCACCAGGAAAGAGGAAGATATATTTGACATTCAGTACTCTTCCCCCCTTGGGCAAAAGTATCTATGTCCTTTTGGGAATAAAGTATGCAATGCATTATAATCTAGAAGAGAATGAGGAAGTTGAAGCAGATGAAAAACCTGATTTTAGGAGAAGAAACTATGGGGAACTTAGGAAGTTCTTTAATGAATTTGATTGGAAAGACTTGCTGTTAGGCAAGACATACCTGGTTACCTGGTTGATGGGGTTCTGGGAGTTGTTCTTCTCCCCAAGCCCGGCCCGAGACCAGGCTTGACTTGTGAGAGTTTAGTCCACTAGGCTGCAGTGGCCTGCAGGCCCACATACCCACCACAGCCCAGTTGGTCCGGCACTCCTTGGAGGAAACTATCTAGTTTCCTCTTGAAGATGTCCACGGTTGTTGTCCACGTAAATGAGTTGTATTGCAAGAAAGGCACAACAAAATTTATTCCAAAACAGATATGCAGAATGAGGAAACATGATTGGTTCAACAAATTGCAAGAGGGCCAGAGACCAAACGACACAGACACGGTATCAATATAGGAAGAGGCCTAACCCTCGAACATTCCAGCGATACAAAGAAGCACGAAACTACTTCACGGAAGTGAGAAGAGGCAGAAAGAAATTTTGAGAAAGGGATAGCTGACAAATGTAAAACAACCAAGCCTGTTTTATAAATTCATTAAAAACAAATTGTAGGTAAAGAATAATATTCAGAGGTTGAAAAGGGGAAACAGATTAATGGAAAATTAAATGTATGAAACATTAAACGAACAGTTTCAAAGTATGTTTGTGCAAGATGAAATCTTCAGAGAACCAGACACAATAAGAATTCCAGAGATCAACATAGAGCACATTGAGGTGTCCAGAGATGAAATGGAAAAAATGCTCTTGGAGCTAAGAAAGAACAAAGCAGTTGACCCAGATTGAGTTTCACCATGGGTTCTGAGTGTGTGTGCACCTGAGCACAGCATTCCACAAAAAGCCATTGGTTTTTCAGGCATCCCTGAAAAAGGTAAGGTAAAAGGAAAGTAGGTAACCTCAAGGTATCCCCGTGTACAGGAATCATAGCAGATATGTGGATAAAGGCTAACATAGTTCCAGTCTACAAAAATGACAGCAGCGAAGACCCCCTTAACTATAGACCTGTATCATTGACAAGTTTAAGTCAAAATATAGTACAAAATAATTAAAACTAAGTGGGTAGAATACCTGGAGAAAAGTGATACAATATGACAGAATATGGTTTTTGATCTAGATGATCCTGTGTAACCAATTTACATACTTTCTATGATAGAGCCACAAAGATTTTACAGGAAAGAGATGGTTGGGTTGACTGCATTTATCTGGACCTAAAAATGGCTTTTGACAAAGCCCCACATAAGTGGTTTTGGAAACTTGATCATGGTGGAGGGGTGACAGGGAGACTGCTGACATGGCTGAATAATTTTCTTAAGTGACAAAGATGAGAGCGGTAATCAGAGGCAATGTATCAGACTGTACTTTTACTAGCGGAGTACCACAAGGTTCATTTCTTGCGCCAGTAATGTTCGTCGTCTACATGGGTGATCTACCTGAAGGAATACAGACTTAGACGATTGCCATGCCCTTCAGGAAGACCTGGACAAAATATATGTATGGAGCAACACTTCGCTGATAAAATTAAATGTGAAATAGAAAATGTCACACAAATACAAATTGTGACAAGGCTTTAAAGAACTCTCTGGGACCTCAGGGTGGTTGTGGATAGAAAACTGTCATCCGAGGACCACATAAAGAACGTTGTGCGAGGGAGCCTATGTTATGCATTCCAACTTCATAATTGCTTTTAAATACATGAATGGCCAAATAGTAAAGAAATTGGTCACAACTTTTGTGAAACACAAATTTGAACATGCCATGGTTGTATGGTGCCCATATCTCAAAAGGCACGTCAGAAAAGTGGAATAGGTGCAAAGACATGCAACTAAAGGACTTCTGAAACTGAAAAACATAAGCTAATAAGAGAGTAAAGGATACAAGATAGATGACTGTAGAAACTGCATCTTTCTTGAATTAAAAGATGAATTAAAAGTCCCCCCATATAAGGCTTTTCTGGAAGTTGAAACACAAAGGTGGTGTAACTAGCAGATTACTAGCATGAATACCTAGAGCAGTCACACATCTCCTGTGCCAGGTGGCTAGATTCCAGTAGGCTCGGGAATCTGTACATCAGTTGATTGACGGTTGACAGGCGGGACTAAAGAGCCAAAGCTCAACCCCCGTAAGCACGGTCCTTAATCTACACGGTAAAATAACAATATACTGGAGTGAACGATATGGAAGAAAATGCAGAATAGAACCAGTGAAGAGCAGGGGTGCCAGAGGCACAATCAGAGAACATTGTATAAACATCAGAGGTCCGCGGTTATTCAACACCCTTCCAGCGACTATAAGAAATATTGCCAGAACGACCGTGGACATCTTCAAGAGGAAACTAGAGTGTTTTCTAAAAAAAAAAGTGCCAGGCCAACTGGGCTGTGGTGGGTATGTGGGCCTGCGGGCCGCTCCAAGCAACAGCCTGGTGGACCAAACTCTCACAAGTCAAGCCTGGCCTCGGGCTGGGCTTGGGGAGTATAAGAACTCCCAGAACCCCATAAGCAGGTATCACAACTAGGTGAGTGAGCGAGTTCAATTTGCTCACCATTGCCTGTGCTGCTTGGAACTTTTTGTTCAGAGTAGCTGAATCAAAAACTAACTAGCTAGCTAACTACTACTACTACTAGAGCATAGATAGAGGCAATGATCCAATTCATGAGAAGCAATGGTTTGGATTGGAAGAATGTCACGAGCAAGTCCCACAAGTCTCCAGGCCAGCTCCAGTAATGTTCATTGTCCACATACATGAGATTCTTAATAATTTTTGGAGGGAAATAGTTAATATGGTTTAATTACCCAAGTTGTGTTAGATGATTATAAGCAATTGGAAAGAATGAGAAACTGATGACTTTCATGCCCTTCAAAATGACCTAGGCAAAATTAGCAAATGGAGCTAATTGGTAAATGCAATGGCAAGTGGGTAAGTGCTACATTATAGAATGTTGAATAAGGAAAACTCGGCCACATTCATCCTACAAATAACATAAAACACTGAGGAGTACGTATCTATTAACTAGAAATAAAACTGTCACTGTACCTCAATGTAATAAACTGTAATCACTGTACCTAAAAAAATACATCCATTAATTAGAAAAGTAGCAAATATTTGCTACTAACCTAGCAAAACTAAAATAGCAGTGAGGAGAGACTGGAGGCACTGCCAAAATTAGTGCACAGGAAAACATGACATAATCACTGCATATAAAATTGTAACAGGAATTAACAAAGTTGATAAAAGAACTTTTGAAATTTTAAACATCAAGAGTTCGAGACCATATATTGAAGCGTCAGAAAATGGAAGTTGCCAAAAATCTTGTAAATACTTATTTTACAAGAAAACAGATGCCTGAAAGTTTTAGAAATGTCAAAAGACAAAGATTACAAGGAAAGTAGGACACCAAATTGTAGCTCCTGCCCTGTACACACACAAATCATAATAGCGTGATGCATCAAATGAACAAATCCACAAGGGCCGTGATGAGGGTTCGAACCTACGTCAGAGAGGATGCCAGATGCGCCTTAATCGACTGTGCCATGACATTGAAAAGAATTGCAACTGGGAGTTCTACTGACCTCTCACAGATCCTGCAGTCTCTCCGAGACAAACCACGGTTATACACAATTCCCCCCATGCACCCAGGCTCTGTCAATAAGCTGTTCTACCTCTTCGCCCTTACTTCATTACACACAGAAATCACAATAGCATGATGAATAAAATGAACAAATCCACAAGGTGCGTCTGGGATCCTCTCGGACGTAGGTTCCAACCCTCATCATGGCTCTTGTGGATTTGTTCTGCCCTGTAATTACAATTGGATAACTACCAAAACATGACACAATTATGTGGTGTTGTGGCATTGTTATAATGCCACAACACCACAGACCACCAACACTAGTGTGTACCCATCACCATATTGTGAACGCATTACGTATTTGTATTCACTACACTTCCTGTACTAATTATTACAGTACCTTATAATAATTTTTACCCCCTTTGTATCTTGAGACGATGGCCTGGGTATACCTCTTGGTTAGCCATGATCAAAACATTTGTAGTTTCTTGTATTTCTTGTGAAGAGTTGGAGTTAAGAGCCAAGTTTTGAAATTATCATTGGGCAAGCAGGAGTTGCATTTATAAAAATATCTTGTGGTATTGTAGGATGTGAGAGACGTACAGTGCATAGAAGACCACCAATGCCTTCGTCATTTAATTAAAAAAAAAAGTTCATGTAGTGTTTCTATAATTCTAAATTTTTCTTCCCCAGATTATGGTTGATGAATCTCTAGTCAAAGAGGAGATGGTTGAAACGTTAGACAGCAACCAGTCTGAGGGTATGGACTCTGGAATGCAATATGGCCATGTGGGTAGTGATCCTGGTATGGATGGTTCTGGTGGTGGTGATGAACATACCAGTCACATGATGCCAAACAAATTTGACCAGCCGGGCATTCCTGGGCAAGCGCAGCCTCTTGCAGATGCAGTTGCAGAAGCTCTGGCGGGGCCTTCAGGAATGCAAGGGGTAAGTGTTGGTAAACTCTCATTAGTGCTACAGTACGTCCTCACTCTTAAGGAACCCCGCTCTAACAAATTCCCTGATGGTCCACACAAATTGCATTCGGTACTAAATAGTCAGTGGCATACGCAAATGGTGGATTAAGTGAGGATTGTTCGTCTAAGCCACCGCCGAGATCGAGCGTTGGTGGTGGCCATCGACTATGATTCACCAAAGTGTAAATAGTTATACACTGTTTTATTTTTCTTACCAATTGTTTTGAGGGAGAAGGGGGGTTGAAGGGTGATAAAATGGTGTCAGTAGTTGCAGTTTAGTGTCAAGGGGCAGGTGGTTCAAGTTAGTCTCGTGTGATGCAGGTAGAAGTAGTGGTGCTTGATAACTCTGGGAGTTCTTCTACTCCCCAAGCCTGGCCCGAGGCCAGGCTTGACTTGTGAGAGTCTGGTCCACCAGGCTGTTGCTTGGAGCGGTCCGCAGGCCCACATACCCACCACAGCCCGGTTGGTCCGGCACTCCTTTGGTATCAGAGAAGACTGGTGGTGTCAGTGGTGGAACTTGTTGTCAGGGGAGGCTGGTGGTGGGAGTTGTTGTCAGGGGAGGCAGGTGGTGGAAGTTGTTGTCAGGGGGAGGCAGGTGTTGACAGTGATGTCACTGAAGATATGTAATGTCAGGAGAGGCAGGTGGTGTCAGTGGTGGAAGTTGTCAGGAGAGGCGGGTGGTGTTAGAGGTGAGCATCAGGGAAGGCAGGTTGTGTCAGTGGGGAGTAAAGATGCGTCCAGCACAAGGCTGGTCTGGCCCGAGTGATCAGCTGACAGCTGATCACCCCCCCCCCCTTTCCTAGGAGATATATTGTGGGGGAGTGGGGAGGAGAGGCAGCTAGCCTGTACCAAAGTCAAGTCAACCTTTATACTCATTAATACTAGGTACTTTATAAGTACATTACTTTGTATATTCCTTATTCATATTAAAAAAAACTTTTCATGTTATTATTTACTGGAGGTATGAGTATGTAATTGTTGATATGAAACAATTTATGCCATGATACTGAAAGCCTGCTGAGAGGCTAGGATTGTGGGTATACACACACAAACTGGCAGTGTATGCCTGGCCTGGTCTGGCCCGAGGCCTGATCTGGCTACCACCCCTCCCCCCTTTTCCCACTGCCGATCCGCTACTCCACCCGACCATCAGAGGCCGGCTCACCCCCCTCAAACCATCGGCAGCCCATTAATCGCCGCCTCCTCTCGTCAGTTTGTTGAGAAAATTCTGTGATTTCACTTGATTGGATTCAATAATGCGCTTACATGTAGCATTTTTATACCAAATTGTTTGCAAGTGATTGCTCTATCAAAGGCCTTAGTGAAAATGGAGAATTCATAATAGATTTTTTCTGAATATTTATATCGAGACTGATGCAGTTGGCTTATGGAAATTTTGGCCATTACATCGTATTTGTGGCCAACAATGATAGGCCAACAAACATAGTAATGATTTTGTTGCGGAATTGTTCGCCAATGATTGTTCTATCATGTGCCATGTTCTAAATGATAAATACATAAATAGATTGTGAGTTTTTTGTTTATAGTGAATATAAGGACTTCTGTTCTTTTCACATGGAGGGTAGGGACAGCCTGGGGCTGACTGGTAGAACCTATTCCGCAGTGGAAGGAATAGGTCTGGCCCCCATATAGTTCGTTAAAGTGAGGACACACTGTATTTTGTGTTTGTCAATTTTGCTAGCACTTCAATTTAAAAAAGAAATGCTACAGAATTTGCTTTTGTAATACTGTACTTTCCTTCTTAGCATGTATTTAACTAATACATGTTAAGAATACATGTTAACGCAACATGTTGCGTTAACATGTATTAACTAATACATGTTAACGCAACAGCGGGTGAGTGTTCCATTGAAATCATTCTCAATCGACTTGAGAATGGTCCAGGACGGACCGAAACGTCGTCGTCCCTTCAAATTCTAGTGTGTGGTCTGGTCAACATGTATTTAACTAAATTTCCCCCCCCCCCAAAGAAACTGTATTATTTATCTGATCTTGGTAGTTTTTATTTAAAATAGTTGATGTGGAAGGACCTTCATTTATTTTTTAAATGCAGCTAACGTGTAACATTTGTTTTGCATAATTTGACACACTGCATTCTATTTGTTTGATGTTTGTCATGTAAATATACAGTACTATAATGTAATTGTTTTTTGTTTCTTTTTGCAGTGGCTTGGAAGTGATATGCCTGGGGGTTTCTCAGCAGAAAACTATGGTGGGGAGGGGAGCCAGGAGGTTCACCCTTCACAAGCTAGTGGTCCACATACGCAACAGCGGGTGAGTGTTCCATTGAAATCTTGCAGAAAAGGAGCCATTAAAAAAGATTGTTCTAGTACTGTGGAAAGATAAGATTTGAAACGATTATTTTAAGATTTTAATTTGGATGAAACTAAATTATTTGTGTGTGGAAAACCCTGCTTTAAACAAAATAAATGGCTTTGTAGTAAAGGCCTAGGAATTACCATATATTTTTTTATTAATTTTTTTTTCAAGTTTCTTGCATTCCTTATTGTAATAGGTATCTGACTTTTTTTGCTTTTGTTTTTTACCGTAACTTTTCACATCGTTTTTGTTAAACACAACAGAGATCCCCCACATACACAAAATCCACAAAAACCCCCACAGTTTTTTTTTCCCCTTTTATCATTTAATTTACGTTGGCTAGGTTGTGTTGAGTAGGCGATTTCAAGCCTACAGTATTTGTATTGTCTCTTTGCCATTGCTTTTTAAGTTCTGATACACTATAAACAGTAAGATGACTACTGGACTAGGCGGTTTTTTAAACAGTGTGTCAACATCGGTGTTAGTTATTTTTCTGAAAACTCTCTGCCTCAAAAGTTGGCATAGATTAAACCCTTTTCAAACATTTACAAGGTATTAAAGTTATCACTTACTTGCATAGAGCAATTAGTTAAAAGTTGCAATACATCAGTGAGTATATAACATAAGTTTTAGACAAAATAAGGTCTGCAAGTTTCTTTTAGTCTTCTTTAGTCCCTGTCTTCTTGTGAGCCTTTTGTCCTTAAGAGGTTGGGCGAGGTGTCTTCAATAGAATCTTTCAAATTATTATAGCTGTTATGAAGTTTAAAGTGTTAGAATCAATGACTAGAAGTCACATGTTGAAAACAAGGCTAATGAATGAGAAACAAAGTAATTGAGGAAATTCTTGTACTACAGTTATATTATAGCTGTAATTAAGCTTGGCATGAAGTCAATGTTTACCATATAGGTGAGTGACATTTTTTCCAAGTCACATACTTGTTTGGTCATCACAACACTTGCCACATTGAGAAATTATAGTGACTGACGAGGTTAAGCAAACATATGCAGTTAATGAAGCTAGACGGGGAATTAGAAGGGTAAGGGACAAAAGCCGCAGGAAAGACTTGTTCACAGTGAATTGTTGCCGATGCCTTCTTTTACTAAAACTTTTCCCCAAAGAGATTGCTTATAATCTCTAGACCTTTTTAAAAATAATCTGTGGTCAGGTTTCAATCTATAGACACGCTGAGACCCGTCTCCTACGTAATCTTACCATCTCCTTCCATGAAATTTATAAACTAATACAGTATATCGTGTTAAATTTCCATTCAAGCTTATCAGATATATTATGTCAAGTTGGTTATCTAATTACCAGTTAGCTAACATTAAGTGTATATTTTAACACTACAATCACACACTTCCCACCACCTCGGCTACGACACATTCTATATACAGTATAGACCACCACATTCCGACGATGAGTCACAATGTGGCTGAAGATATGAAGACAAAACCACACACCAGAATATGTAGAGATGACGATGTTTCGGTTCGTTCTGGACCATTATCAAGTAGATTGTCGACTTCTGTCCATCCTGGACCATTATTGTCGTCGTCTCTTCGTCTTCTGGTGTGTGGTTTTGTCATCACCACATGCGTCTTGAACTCCTCCCCCAAGCTCTGTAGATGAAATTTGCTGACCAGAGCTTGTTTTTAACCTGTCATATAATAAATATCTACTTTGAGAATGTGAATACAAGAATTTTTAACTCACATTTTTGTCTCGTGCCCTAGTCTTTAAATCTTTACTGTTCAATAGTAGCATTTTGACTCCTGGAAAATGGAAATTCTTTAAACTCACTACTTTTCAATTTTTTTTTATATTATCAAAAGTCATCACTGAATACCCTGTCCTGGGTTTCTTGCTTGTTGGAATTATCGACACATTAACTGCATTTATTGTCACCATAATGCATGGATGTCCTAAAATTTTTGCGATACAGTATATCCAGAGATATCACAAGAACAAGTGCTGGGGACTGTGCTGGTTACATGGAGAAGACACATTTGTAACACATAGGATGGCCACAGGGCAAAGTATGCCTCTCCTTCCTGCTAGCTCCGGCCACCACTTTACTGGTATAATTTTTTTAGGATAGGCCATGGCACACACCTCTGTTGTTCACTTCAACCTTATTATTATTATTATTAAAATGATTAAATTTAAGTACAGTACTAAATTATTAAAAGTACCCTATTATCAAAATAGGGCACTGTTCCTCCTTAAAACTTTGCTTGCTCCTGGGTATTGAAGCAAGCACAATACCCTTCAGGGAGCTGGTCGGCCAAGCGGACAGCACCCTGGACTTGTGATCCTTTGGTCCCGGGTTCAGTCCCGGGCGCCGGAGAGAAACAATGGGCAGAGTTTCTTTCACCCTATGCCCCTGTTACCTAGCAGTAAAATAGGTACCTGGGTGTTAGTCAGCTGTCACGGGCTGCTTCCTGGGGGTGGAGGCCTGGTCGAGGACCGGGCCGCGGGGACACTAAAGCCCCGAAATCATCTCAAGATAACCTCAAGATAACCCTGGAGAACTGAGCAACATTCAGAGGAGAGTGCTCTGTGGGATTCCTCTTTTTCCACTCCTCTCCAGTATGATGCATCTTTGAGTATGACTGTTTCATGTTCTTCAGGTAAATTCTTACCAAGTTTATGTCACTCCTACTATCCATGGTTGTTTGTCATCTTTTGCACTAGTAGTGTGTGTGAGGAACATTATCCTAAGCTTTTTTGGAGGTCTGACGATGATGTAGTGCACCCAGCTTTTTATCATTTGTTGTATTTTGGTGATCCTTTTCATACTTGAGTTTTTTTTTTGTTTATCTGGTCTTTAGTTCTTCCTGTCTGTTCCCTTTCTTAAATACTGTACTGGGATTATCCCTTAGACAGCGCAATACATACATATGTGATTTGACAAAAAATTATTTAAGATAAGTTTTTAAAATTTGCACAAACACTTTCCATTTTTTCTTTTTTTTGCATTATCAGCTAGGCAAATGCTCCAACTTTGTCTAAATGATCACAGCATTACTTGGAAAAACAAGGGAATCAAAATTAATTTTAAAATTGAATATTGAAAACTTAAGATTTTCAATTTAGAATAAAAAATATGAACTATCATTAATTGTTCATTTAATGTTGTTATTCTCTCAGAATGGCATATGATCTTCATTTTCATTAAATTGTAATACAATATAGGTTTTTAGTATAGTTTACTGTTCAAAAAATCGTCAATAGGACATTTGAAATATGCGGCAAATTTAGACCAAACAAAATTATAACTCCAAATGTATAAAGTTTATGAAAAATCGATTCTGATGGGATTGTAGAACTGATAGCTGAGCACCCAATATGTCAAAATAGTGAGAATAGCTGAGCACCCAATATGTCAAAATAGTGAGAATAGCTGAGCACCCAATATGTCAAAATAGTGAGAATAGCTGAGCACCCAATATGTCAAAATAGTGAGAATCAGTTAATAACTGGAATTTTAGAAGCCATTCAAAATTGAAACTCTGGTATATATGAAACAGAGATAATTGAAGTTGAAGTTATCAACAATGAATAAAGGTAGTTTTAATTCGTTAATTTAATTGTATGTTTTAATAAATACTGTTTGGCATTCGTACTCGAATATGTGAAAGTTGTAGGTCAATATGTGTTGAAATGAAGTCAAGAAAAAATAACCCCCCAAAAAACACAAAATATAGGGATAATTATAATAAATATAATGATTTAGGGTATACTTTATATAAGTGAAAAAGCCCTAATACAGTTCCTAATCATCAAAACAACCTAAAGAGACAAAGAAAATAGTTTGAAATCAGAGAAAAAATCGGCCAAAAAAAAATTGTCCCAAGTTTTGCTAGTTGTGACTGACGTATTTGTTGACCAATTTCATTCTATCTTCACATAGTTATGAAAACATATGCTTTCTCCAGGATGTAAAGGTTTCAACAAAATCAGATAATAAACAACAGAGAAAAAAATAACTAAAATCTTGAACAAAAAAATTCCCTAAATTTTTTTTTTCTTAGGACATTGATGAAAGTAACATATATTAACATTAGACAATGTATTTATATGATATATGACAAAATAGATCATATTAACATAGTTATTCATTATTATTTGTGTTATTATGTATTACTCAGCAATGCTATAAAGGCACCAGCTGCATATCCACTTTGTGGACGACACTTACTACAGTACTGTTCTTCTTTGAGCATTGGACAGTTGCTTGTATCTCTTTATTACTGCATAATCCTTCAGTTACAGTTATTAGGAGCTGTTCTTATCAATAAAACATTCTTATTTTTCAAAAATTTGTCTAAAATCAGTTTCTGAATTTTTTTTTATGAGTTTCAGGTCACTGAAGACAATAAGTTGGAGATTTGTTTAACATTAAGTTATTTTTACATAATTTGAATATTTTTCGATGTTATACCCCCTAAATTTGCGGTAATATGCGCGGTGTAAGGTGGCCTACTTTAGTATTTATGGGAGCTTGCCACATTAATGTTAGGGTGAAAGCTGGAGAACACTACAGAATCCCTGCAGCTTTTTTTTTTTTTTTTGAGATATATACAAGAGTTGTTACATTCTTGTACAGCCACTAGTACGCGAAGCATTTCGGGCAGTCCCTTGCAGTAAATCTTTCCCGGCCAGGATACGAACCCATGACAAAGCGATTGCGGAACGCTGGGCGAGTGTCTTACCACTACATCACAGAGACTGGTAAACTCCTTTAGTAATCACAGTCATACCAGTTCTGGTGGTTCTATAATATTTATTTCCTTTTGATGTCTCATAATTTCTCTTCGGTTATATCTAAGCCGTTTAATATTGTCACTGGTCACTTGCTTTCTTCTATCTTTAGATGCCAATCTGGTTTTGCTTTGTACCTAATAATTTTTTGTTATTTCTCACGACTTCCTTGTCTCACTTCACGAGTAAT